TGACTATCTTACCCTTTATTGCACATTGTTTAAATTGTTTAAGTGTTTATGCCTTCTTCAAAGGGGAATTTCTTCATCATCCTAGATTCCTCCAGCTTTGTTTTGTTTAGCTACCTAGTTTTACACATTAACTCTTTTTTTACATTTTTTTAAATTTTTTAAAAATATTTTATTTATTTATTTGACAAGGAGAAAGAGTACAAGCAGGGAGAGCAGCAGGCAGGGGGAGAAGGAGAAGCTGAGCAGAGAGCCCCCAGTGGGGCTCCATCCTAGGACCCGATATCATGATCTGAGCCAAAGGATGACACTTAACCCAGGCATCCCTACACATTAACTCTTCAAATAAACCTATAACCATTATTCCCTTTTTATCCTTGCTGCCCTGCCCTCATTGGCCCTGAGGACATGTTGACCCTTTAAGGGATCAGCACTTGCTCCTAGCCCTTCTCCCTTCTCCTCCTCTGACTAGAGAGCTGGCAACTCTAGGTCCCAGCCCACCGAAGCCACATGACAGTGCCCTGATGACTACAGCATTGGCAGAAATCTACTGGAGAATTCTAGGGACAGCCTGCTCTTCTGAAGGTGGAAGAGCATAGCTTCAACTGTGCATTTTTTAGCTTGTTAGTTTCCTGTCACTTACAACCTAACACATGGCTGACTAATATCTTGCCTACCTGCCTCCCTCCTGTTCTAGTCTTCTATAATCTGCTTTGCCTTACAATTTTGTGTAAGGGTGAAGAAAGAGAAGACCGGAAAAGAATACAAAATAAATAAACATTGACAATAAATGCAAAGGACAGCTGACATATGAAAGCAGTGTTAAAGACTGAAAAATTATTTTAAAAAGTATGAAAAACAATTTAAGAGTAATCTAAGTCCACTTAGTAAAGGCTTGAAAAATTCCTACACACACGAACAGTTCCTTAGGGCACCGGGATGAATACCACTGTATAGGGTAGCAACGAGGCTCTCCCAAAGTTTTCATTTAGCATTCAGTCTCTAGTGGGTACACCAGTGAGCCAAACACACAAGATGTTACTGCCATGGAGCTTAGAGTTGAACTGGGAAGCAAATACATGAACAAAATAATTACACAAGCAAACAAAATCTGTGCTATGGAAAGTCAAATTCAAGTATGGCTCAGTCAGTAGAGCATGCAACTCTTCATCTCAGATTTGTGAGTTCTAGACCCACATTGAGCATAGAGCCTCCACCCCCCCCCCCCAAAAAAAAAAAAGAATGGTCTTGATAAAGGAGAACCTGGTCTATTTACTAGTGGAGCAGACGACTGGCAAGGAAAACTTCCTTAAGAAAACTGACCTATGCACTAGCTTGGAGGATGAGCCTGCTTGTTAGAGAAACAAAGGGAGGAGGGGCAGGGAAGAAAGGAAGAGCTTTTGGAGAGGAGGGACACTACATCCAAAGCCCCCGAAGAATGAGGGCAAACACTGATTCTGAGAAACACAAGGAAGGCCATGGTGTGTGTGTTTGTTCCAACTCACCAAGAAAAGGAAAAATTACTTTCATATATTCTGCTTAAGAAGAAAACCAAGGAGCTTTTGCACTAAGTCATTCCATAGAGATACATAAGCATTTATTAAGTACCATGCACTATATTAGGTTCTGGGATATAAATATGAGTAGGATATATTCTGTGCCTTTAGGGAGTTCCAACAAATAATAAAGAAACTAAAGTAAACAATTGCAGTTGCTTATAATGAGCACTTTGGTGTAGGTGTGGCCAAAGGCTGTGGGGACAACAACAAAATGATTAATTCATTCAGAGGCTCAATTACCTAGAAAATTAATCTATGTTCTATACATCATTACCAAATGATACTGAATAAAAGAAATATGACTGAGTCTAATCATGAAACGAACCACAAAATCTAAATTCTGACAGATATCAAAAAGTAATGGAATTGTTTAAAAGACTTTGAAGTACACAACCCTACTTTAACAACCTCTCTAGTCTTGGGCAACCATTCAAATAACCAGATTTGTGCATAAAGAAATTTTAGGATATGTGTTTGAGGCAAAGATAAATAAAGGAAACACTGAATTAGACCTCATCAGGATCAGATAGAGAAGTAGAAAAGGCCAACATAACATTAAAATTCTTCTTTTGTTGAGATCCAATGAAAAGACTTGTACTTAAGAAGAGTTAATGGCAAACATTAAAATCTGCCTTTTCATTCACTTAGTTTATATGATTATCAATAAACAAAATCCAGAGACTTGGGCCTTTGCATTAGTTCTGCCAATAATCAGTTGTGTGAAAACAGAATCACGTGGTTTCTCTGAATCTCAGTCTCCGTATTATGAAATAGAATAATTTCATTTGCATCTGATGATTGCAAAACAGTCTTCCAGAAAAATTAGATACCACTCTTTTATTTTCACTGATTTCAATACTGGCTAACTACAAGTACAAGAGCTCAGGAGAATACAGAGCCATTTTACCAATTATTTGCCAGGCTGGAAAGCACAGATTTTACAAATAATACTTTGAATTTAGCCAAGATAAATTAGCAAATGTATAATGCCTGATCATTACAAGGCTACATGAAGCCAAAGAGTGGCTATGGAATCTAGTAAAGACTAGATGGACTCACTAACTAGGAAACATGCACATTCAATCAGGTAAAACCCTTCTAATGATATCTATGGCCCTTCTCTTGGATAAAGGAAATCATAAGAAAAAAATCACCCAAATATAATGTCAGATATCATTGTACATTATTATGAAATATGTGTATGCTATTTCTATTGTAGGACATACTTTTTCCCATCTCAGTCATTTTTGCTAAAGTGTTTGATAAAGTTGCTTAAAGTGAATAGGGAGTTACAATATATGAGCCAAAGAGGAATCTGCTAATTTAAAACAAAACAAAAAAAATTGGAATATGGTTTTGTCATCAGATCCAAAAAATGACACAGTAATTATATGCAGTGCTACACAATAATTCTAAGCATAATTGCAGTATAATTTTTGTGACATGCACTTTCTATCCATCTCCATCATAATTGTTATGTTTAGATCTTGTCACCTTGTTTTTAAATTTCTCTTCTATTTCCTTAAGGTGCAGGATTTTCAAATATGTAGAGTCATTTAAAATATATGTACCCCACAATACCTATCTCATCACAGGACCTGAACAAATGAGTATCAACAGAAATCCTAATATTTATGCAAATACCTAATGTTGTGGAAAGTCAACCCTGTACAACTTCTTAGTCCATTTTACAAAAATAAGAATGTAAGGGGAATACATATTTTGCAACTTTTTGTAATGCAAAATGGTTTCTCCTACTCTTTGCTATGCCATCTTTCTCCTATCAATGAGAAGGTCCACGTCACACAGGATGCAAAGGGCTTTGAGAAATGGGAACTGCCTTGTGCAGTTTTCAATGTGAAAGAGCATCCACACTGCAAGTTCTCAAGGCCAAAAGCCACAGGCATTTTAAGCACAAGCAACTTTGATGGATAGGCATGGCTGTGTGTCAGTGCACCCCTTTTCCTATCCAGACCCCACATCCACTACATAAAATGTCATATTAATCATGTGATCTAAGCATATGGTATATCTTTTGAAGAACTTAAAATTATAAGGTATAGAAATACATATTTTTATAGAAAATTTTAAAAAATGATACTTGCCATAAAGATTTGTTAAGATTTGTGATGGTTAATCTTATGTGTTAATTTGGTTAAACCTACTCATAATGAGGGTGGGCCTCATCCAATCAGCTGAAGGCATTAAGAATAAAGATTGAAGTTTCCTTAAAGACATTCTACCAGAGTTTCTACCCTTTAGAGTCAAGACTGCAATGGCAACTCCTATCCAGTCTACAGGCTTGCCTTACAGATTGTAGACTTGCCAGCCTCCACAATGGCATAAGACAATTTCTTAAAATCTCTCCATCAATCCATTAATCCATCCATCAATCAATCAATCAATCATCCTCACTCCCAACCTTCACCCCCACCTGTATACCTCCTACTGGTTCTCTGGAGAATACTGACTAAACAAGTCTATCCAGAACATTCAATATATTACTTATTACCTTTTAAAAAACAAATATTTTTGTTCCTGTTTATGACATTGGTAAATTCTGAACCAACTCTTAGTTTTAAGATTATGTTAACACTCTTTATTAAAAATTTCATGAAACCAGCTAAGAATAAAGCTGACATATTGAGCTTAAGTACTTTCTCTAAAACTAGATTTAAGTATATATTATGTATTTTCTGTACAAACTAAGTTTGTGCACTTTCTATAGAACAAATAGTATGAAAAGACAAAAGAAACTAGGTAATTATGACTCTCAGTTAATGATATTTGGCTGTTCTTCTCCAAGTTATTACATATAACAAAGTTCAGTCATTTTATAGGAAAACAGTAACATAATCATATTTGTATGTGCAACAGCTGCAAAAACAATGTTGTAAAAGTAGGGTATATATTATGATTACTTGTTGTTGTAAAACTAGTTTCAGGTCAGTTCTTCCTAGTATCATTATTTCCACATCATAAAACACACTTAAAAATATCTTTATAAGTAACAAGCAAATTACAATGACTTTACTTCTATTTATATATTTTTAAAGATTTTTATTTATTTATTTGGCAGAGAAAGAGAGAAAGCATAAGCAGCGGAAGTGGCCAGCAGAGGGAGAGGGAGAAGCAGGCTCCCCACTAAGCAAGGAGTCTGTTGGGGGGTTTGATCCCAGGACCCTGGGATCATGACTTGAGTTGAATGCAGATACTTAACCGACTGAGCCACCCAGGTGCCCTACTATGGCTTTACTTTAAAACCTAAATTATATTCAATTAGAATTATAAATGGTATATTATAAAGGCCTCCTATTATTTTATATATAACAGATTGATACCAGAGAAAATATTGAAATGATATATGTTTTTTTTTGTTTTTGTTTTTTGTTTTTCAAAAAAACAAGTCCCTCTCAGAGGCATTCAGTGGACCGAGGTACTTACTAATAGCAGAATCATAGGAGGTTGAGTTGTGTTCTCCCCTCATAAAGGGATATGGCGACAGGTAAGCATGTGCGCAGTTCTTGGATGCTGGCTGATTGGCTAGAAAGGAGACCAAACAGAGGTAGTTGTTATTGAGAAAATGAGAGAAGACCTGTTCCTAACACAAGAGAAATGTGGGATCTGGGGCACAGAAGCTAAACAAAAACTGCAGGTTAGATCAACAATTTCAGAGAACAGTTGAATGAGGGGGAAAAAAACTCCCATCAAGCAGCTCAGGGGACCTAGAAAGTGGATTCATCTAAAACATCTAGCTCATGACATAGTTCAGTGCAGAGAATACCCCTAATATCACCTTAAAATTAAAGACACTACACTTCATTTATTTTCACAAACATATTCTCTAGTTCCTAATTTGATGTTTAGTGCATAGTAAGTATTCAAAAAGTAATTGTTTTAAAAATATAACAAATTTAGATTTAACCTTGATCAGTTCTGAACAACATAAAAAGTATTCTATATTCTATTTTTAGGGAAAAGATAGAAATGATAGGTCATACAAATTAATAATCCAAATGCATTTTTAGTATTTGGAAAAAATACAAGAAAAAACTTTTATGTTGTTTGAAAACTTGAAGATTTCACTGCGTACTCTTTAAGAAGGAGTGAAATTCTTCCTTCCTCTAATCCTTGGAAAAGTCTTCCTCTTGCATAGTCTGATTTATTCTATCAGTCTAAATAGTTTTCATTGGAAGACACTTTTTCTCTTCCCCAAAATGTCTGTAAGAAAGCCTGTCAACTATTTCTTGCAAAATTTCATCTCATTATTACTTGGCTCCTTTTATGCATGCCTACTTGCTGTCAGCTTGCTTGTCTTCCAAGATCTCATATTTTTATTATGTATTCTTTATTATATATATAAATGCCATATTTTGATAAATCACAAGAGTATATACCATATTTTGATATATCACAGGAGTATATGATAAAGAGACTAATAATTTCAGCCTACAATAATATCCTTTGGGGTAAGATAAAAGCTAGTTATTTTCAAAGATTAATATAATATAGGAAATAGAGTGAAAAGAATGTATCATATTTTTAAGAGGCTTTTCTACTTCAAAAGAGAACTTTCAAGTTTCTATGAGAGAATGCAAACATCAAAAGCCAGGCATTTCTTCATATTGTCAACAAACTTGGTTAAAGCCCAAACAGAGTGAGCTTTCATCCACTGCGGCTGGTAATTAAGTTTTATTATTTAAAAAGATTTTTTTTAACTTTAAAGTCATGAATATAAAATAACACATCTCTATTTCTAAATTTTTAAATTTGAGGTTTCAAGGGATAACCAAGAATATATATATATATATATATATATATATATATATATATATATATATA